CTCCAGAAGCCTCTGAGTTCTTGAATAGCTGGGCCCAGTGAAATTATCCCTTGTGAACCAATTCTCTAGAATTCAGTGTTTGAGCCGGGGCCCAGAGATTCTTATCTCAATGAAAGGTTTACAATTTTGTACCCTTGAGTCTATAAGGTACCTTTTGGTCTTATTCCTGTACTTGGTTTCTTTTTAATGGTGCTAATTTCCTCAGTAGCCACAACTACTTTGAGTCCAACTCTAAAAATGGTTCCTTTTGGGCCAAAATTCAATTATTCAAATTTTTGTAGTCTGTTTTCTGGCCCTAGATCTCACTGGCTACAATCATCCAGCAGTACCTATGCCACAACCTAGATATTGGGCTCTCTTAAAATTTTTGTCTGGCAAATTAATTCATCCATCACCTTCAATCTTAGTCTTACACAAATTTTCAGACTTGGGAAAAATGTAACATACTGCTTGCATGTACCATAAATGGCTTCTAGTTCAAATGCCAATTTCGTCCTTGTTCCCAATTGAAATGTCCCAATTCTGGCCTTTGTTTTGCACATTCTTAACAGCATACTGATCTTCTAAACATAGACCAGAATTACCCATCAATCATTTTAGGACTTCTCTAGCCCCATTTCCAAACCTTTCCAAAATCTTCCTGAAAATTGTTTCTAAAAGTTTCCAAATCACATGGTCAGGTACAATCATAGCAACACCCCCTGACAACCCTTTCGCTTTTCTGTATTCATTTTCTTGTTGATGAGACACAATATCCAAACTCAAATTAAGGTAGGATATATTTAATTTAGTTCATGATGTCAGAGGTTTCAGTATATAGTCAGCAGGCTCTAATGCAGGAATACCATTGGTGAAAGTTTGTGGGAGAGCACAGATGCTTAGTCAATGGCATCCCAGAAGTAAAGCATGAGAACAACATCCAAGAGAAACAGTCCAGGGACCATGTATAGTACCCAACGTCATCCATCCATGATTTAATTAACCATATAAAAAATGTGGTCAGTCAATTGTCTGGGAAGCTCCCAAGCCAATGAAGTTGGCAGTCAAGTTTAATGATCACAGATACATATGCAGTTGAGCACATGAGCAATAAGTGAGGTATTTGGGTATCAAAATTCAAATCTACCAAACTAGGAGAGGGTCTGGATTTCTTCAGAAGGGGTTGTACGTAGTATCTGTGAAGAACAGCTGTGAGGGTAAGAACTGAAGAATTAAAACAGGCCTTTCAGAGAACCACGCCTGCTCCCGACTCAGCCACCATCGCTCAAGCACCAGGAAGGTAGGCCGGCCCAATCCACTGAGGGAAGGAGAACCACTCCTGCTCCCGACCCAGCCGCCATCACTCAAGCGCCAGGAAGGTAGCCACGTGGGTGCCCCTGAACCCCCATAATTCCCCCCCTCCGCACTCTCAGACCTCCTGACTGTGCAAGTCTTTGGACCCACTCTGCAAAGACTGAGGTGTTCATCAAGGGTATTTTTCTGAGTTCCCAACTTTGAACATCTTTAAAGAAAGGGTGGGGGAACCTGTAATAGAATGTTGCAGAGTTCAACCATTCAGAAGGATGGGGAACTCAATCTGGGCCTTGCAACCCGAGGTCAGTCAGCGTCATGGGGTTCAGCAATCAGCTAACTGAGATTGGGGTCTTGCATCCTCGCTCTGTCTGAGCCATTAAATGGTAAATATACTATATTGAAAAGTTTGTTCACTGCAGACATGTTCTGGACTGCTTCTTGATTTCAATTTAATTCAAATGATTTAAGGGTGATAGACTAGTGACTACCACAGGTGGTCAGTGTCCAAGGTGTGCTTGATCTTAATGTGTTGCTGATTGTATCAGTTGGGGTAAAGCATTGCCGTTGATTTGATGAGCTGTTTTTTCTGATGTTATGAAGATGAGAATGTCTGTGGGTCATTAGAGACACAGAAGCTAGGGTGCAACTATATCAGGAAGATTTGGGTGATAATCCAGAGATTAAACCAAGGACAGTCCGACAACAAAAATTAAAATGAGAAAACACTTAAGCAAGACACAAGGACAGACTTCCAGTTCACCAATGGCAAACAGTAGGGCAAATGAGGATGAAAAGGCCGATAGTGAACCACCAGGACACCCTGAACTCAAAGCACAGGAAGTAACTAAACAGATCAATCAGGCTCTAGAAAAATTCAAAACAGAAATAATTTCCCAGATAACCATAGAGATAGTGAGCAAAATGGAAGT